TGAGCTTTCCGAGCTTGCCTTTCCTTCTCTGTGTCAGCCCATTTAACAACCAAAGGGACACTGGATCCCTGAGTAGGGGAAAAAACAACCAAATGATGTTGGCTAAAATATGTCGGCCCCAAAAAGATGTTGGCTCGAGCAAGAAAGCTCGACTATTGATGATAATGAATTTAACTAACCAATTTGACTTGTATGACAAATTCCTCACCGAAAAAATTCCATCCAGTTACAGCTACAACGAATTACATATTTTTTTAGAAAAAATAAATAAATGCTATTCTGTCCAGTGCCAGGCCACAATACCATCTGCTAGTATAAGTATGACTATTAGTTTCATTCATCCATTACAAAATTCATTAAAAATAAAAATAAAACCAATGGAAGAATAAAAGAATACGGTCTTAAGAAACAGGGAAACAAAAAGAGGAAACAAAAAGAGGAAACAAAAATATTCATGTTTAATGCAAGTTTATGCAAAGCAATGCTCTGAACACAAATTTAAATATCCTTATCAGTACCCCCGATTGCCTTCTTCCCATTGATAGATGTAGCTGGACTGAGAGTAAAACATTATCAAACTAATAGAATATTTACTGCAATACAATACCACGATACATAAATGCTATCCATGAAATGATCTTGAGAGGCAAGGAATAAAATTTACATCAACATTCTCATGAATAAAAGGGTTCAACATAACAAGAGCGAGCAATATCCTTTTCAGATGAAATATTCAGACAATATTATGGGATCTATGATTTCAATGATTTTGGTATTGACCACCTATCAAAGAAATTTGAAAAGCTAAACATTTCTAGAAAATTAACTCAAAGATGAATGAGTAGACAAGTTAATTTACATTACCTCCATTTTATGCTTTCCATTAATTGCCTCAAGTGCTGCAACAGCTTGATCCTTTGTCTCATACTTCAAGAACGCACAACCTGAACTTGAGCAACATATGGAGCTAATGGTGAAGATTCAACTGAATGTGTGAGATCTTTCATAATTTCAACTAACATCAAGCTGAAACAAACCAAAAACTACCTTTACTTGTCTGCTGCGAACCTCTTAATATTTGCAAGTCTTTTATAGTTCCATATTGAGAGAAAAGACTAGAAACTTCATCTTCGGATACATTTTTTGGAAGCATTCCAATAAAGAGTTTGTGTTCTGCTCTTTTCAGAAAAAACCAACCATTAATATCCAAAATTAATCTTTTAGCAAGATAAATACAAGCTCATGAAGAAAGTGGCGATGTAGGTGATGGATATTAGGAACCATCTTTTAGATGAAATATTCAAGCAGGGCATGATATTACACCTAGTCTTTCCAGCTCGCCATCTGCATATTTTACTTGCAACGGACTAGAAGCCTGATTGAATGGAAAAGGAGGGGTATTACTAATCAATTTGACGATAAACATTGTTTAATTACAGAGTTAACGGAAACATAAAAGGATAATTACAAGAAGAATCATAACATCAGAGAATCATTGCTCCAAAATTTAAGACAAAAAGCCATAATTTAGGGGTCAAAAGTTGATCCCACTCCAATGACGTGCATAGTTAACTTAATTTTGTAAGAGCCAGCTTCCTATAAAGGTTTTGTTTATTTTTACTCTTTTCTCTATTGTTCATCGTCAGAGCATGTACAGGCGCAAGGGTATCACCTTTGAGAGTCAAACTATATAATATATAATTGAAAAGATTCAACAACTTTTTTTCTTAAGAAAAAGGGCCGTGAAAGCTTAAAGCGTCTGCTCAAGTTGGCTCCACAAGAAATGTAGAGCGCTTCTAGTTCATTTTTAACTCCAAATATAAGATACATCACAATGTGCTGTATCTAAAACTAGAAAGCAGCTTCTACAGAAAATCCAAGACTTTTAGAACTTCTAGGTTACCTATAACAGCGATTACGTACAAGGCCAAGTCATCGAATCGATCAGTTGCATTGATTAGCATTATCGACAAGAAAGAGAAAAAAAAAAAAAAAAAAAAAAAAAAAAAAAAAAAAAAAAAAAAAAAAAAAAAAAAAAAAAAAAAAAAAGAAGAAAGATACAATTACAAAACATTGGGAGAGAAAGAGACATAAATTATACAAAATCATAAAAACGTCCAGATTCCACTAACCCCAGGTAAAGTTTTCTTGTTATGGCAAGCATTGATCGCCTTATCCGCCTCCTGCCTCGAAGGACATATCACAAAACAGCAACCTGAAAATGTAGTAACCAAAACAAGCCCAAATCACAACAAAATTAGGGATCAACACATCAATTCACAATGTTTATCGGTTAAAGACCTCTCAAAATCAATCGAACCACAAACAAACAACAACACACAACCAAAACAGAGAGAATGGGAGTGTAAATGTAAACTAAGAAAAATAAGAACGAGAGACGCTGAAGTTGAAATCAAAGAGAAAAACCTCTAGAGGCGCGAGTGGTTTTGTCTCTGATGATGTTGACCTCGTCAACAAGTGCAAGCTCTTGGAACATTGCGAGAAGTTGAGCTTCGGTAATATGCTTCGGCACTTGACCAACAAAGAGTTTGACGCTGTCTTCCTCCTCCTGACTACTCCCCTTTCTCTCTCCTCCTCCACTCCCCTCCGCCATTAATGCCGGTTTCAAGCTTTCTCTCTCTGGAAAACCTCTCTCTCTCTCTCTCTCTGTCTCTGTGTCTATCTCTCTCTAGTTTTCGCCGTCGCTTCTCTCTCTGATATTGGATTTTCCTCCTGAAAGTCTTCGCAGAGAAAAAAATGAGTGCTTCTGATGCTAAAATTAGATCTCTTCAATAAATTACACTAACTAAAATTACTGTAAATTACCCCTGGATTTTCTACTTATTACCAAATTGCCATTACAGCTGTTTTTACTCTCACGCTCGTTTGTTCTTCTGTTTGCAGCGAAAGTTGGTGTACTTATTTATGTGAATGGTTAATTACATTTATGCCCTTTGCTTTTTAAAAAATAAATGTTTATTTTCTCTAAATCAAATTAATCGCATGTTTTTTTTGTTCAATAATTGAGGTTTAAAATTCAATTTCTTTTGAGTTTAAATGTCTTATTTAATTTGATTTTTGTTTTTTAATACGACGGATTATGACTCATTAATTTCAATTTGAAAGATATATATTTTTATAGAATAAATTTTTAAGTTTAGTTAACTTTTAAAGTTGGATTAAAATTTTCGGTAATCAAAATGAAACAATGTTCAATCCAAGTGACCAAATTGAAGTGTTTTCGGAGATGAAATTGGGATTTTTAGTACGGATCAAAATAAACCAAGCTTCGTCTATAGTACTAAATTGAAATTTAAACCAATACGAGCATAGTTCCTGAAAGACACGTGTCAAAAAGTAAGATTTAAAAAAAACAAAAAACAGCAATAAAATTAAGATTATTTAATTAAGTTTAAAATATAATTAAAAGTTTATGGTAAATATTCTACCATGGCACAAGGTTCAAGATAAATACTGAATTTTTTGCCAAAAAAATGATAAAATTAGTTGGTTGGCCAACTTTGTAAAGCCGTGGAAGCAAATGAATGGGGTTCTTGTACCATTCTGCAGAGTAGGGGTAAAATAGTAATTTCAAATAGAGTGGCATGGTTGTAATTTAATTAAAAAAATGAGGGTAAGGATAAAAGATGCCAGACTGTCCTGCCAACAAGGTTCCACGCTGCAGCCCAAACACGGAGAGACCAAGCTGTTTCTCGTGTGCCAAATTGCCTACTTGCACATTAAATAAAAATATTACCTCAATATATATTATTTATTATTTTTATTATTATTATTATTATTATTATATTATAGACACTAAATTTTAAATAAATTATTGTAGTTAGGTCTATTTTTCATTTTAATATATGGATTTTAAAATGTCTCAAGTCTACGTAATTTTAATAAATATTAGAATTAATTTTTATGTTACATTTGAATTTGGAAATAATAATCATAATAATTTTTTTAATTGAAAAATACAACATGATTAAAAATTGAATTTTACCCAACTAATTATAGCAAATAAAAAATGAATCATTATTAGACATACTTGTTTATAAACAAAAACAATAAGATTACAATACTAAAATATATTTTAACAAATAAATTTAAGCATGTTGGTATGCATTTAATATAAATATTACAACTTAATTTATAACTCAAAATAATAGAATAAAATTAGTTACTAAGTAATTAGAACACCTTATTTTTGACATATTGGTCAATTAATTTCTAAAAGAAAAATCAATTTAAATTTTATGAGTTGCATCCATTACAACCGATGATATTATATAATTAAAATCCTAAATTTTTATTGGTAAATCAAATTAATCTATTTATTATGTTTCCATTTTTAAAAAATATTAATTCACAAATTTCGTACATGAATAGCATTTATTTTAATATAGGAATAATTTAATATTCAAGAGAAATAATTACAAAGGATAGCGACTTTTCATTAAAAAGAATAATTTTTATCAAATTGCTTGTGAATTTCTTAATACATAGCTAGAATTTTTGGAGAAATTTGATTTTAATTGGGTTATTTAAATTGATTTTAAATGAAACCAAGTAAAAATAATTATAAATTGGTAATTGATAATTCAAATTAGTTTATAACATCTTTTCATCTAAATGATTAAATATATATTTAAATGATTTTAACGAATTTAAAATCACTTCTAAATATCCTAAAGCTAAGTTAAACCATATTCATCATTGAATTCAACCATTTTCTGACATAGATAATGTTTTTAGTTTTTTTTTTTTTCAATTTTAACAATCACGGAGGAAGACTAACCTCATGAGCTTTTATCCTAGATCGGAACAAGTTGATAGGATCCCTTTTTTAGGTCTCCATGTCCCTCTCGTGTGGCGACATGGAGTGAAAAAAGGAAAGAGAGGAATGAGGTTTCTCTCGCTTTTGGCATAGTGTGACCTAGCGGGAGGCCCACACGACAGGCTATTAGCTCAGTGGTAGAGCGCCCCTGAGAATTGCATTGTGCCTAGGTTGTGAGGGCTTTCAGCCACATGAATAGTTCAATGTGCTCATTCAGCGCCTGACCCTAAGGCGTGGATCATCCAAGGCACATTAGTATGACGTGACTTCTTAACCAAATTATAAAAAAAAAAACAAAATTTCGAAACTAATTAAAATATTGGTGGAAAGGGAATAACAAGAACAAGAACAAAAAAAAAAAAAAAAAAAAAAAAAAAAAAAAAAAAAAAAAAAAAAAAAAAAAAAAAAAAAAAAAAAAAAAAAAAAAGTAAATGATTATTAAAGAAATAATTGAGAAGAAGAGTGCAAGGGAAAATAAAATTATGGAGGAAAAGTTATAAATGGATAATAAAGGGGTACCTGTCATGATAGCTGTAGTCCAACTCCAAACCAAAACCAAAGCCAACTCCCTTTGAATTCAATTAAATTGTAAATCAAGGAAGGACTGCCACTTCAATATGTCTCTAACCAATTAAGCCTTCAGGAAACTTATTTTACACTATAAACCAGATCACACCAATCATGGACAAATAAACAACTAAGTAATAATAATCTTGTGAAATCAAATCATATGGAATTCACTTGGGATGACTAGTTACATTTAATACCTACCTGCATGCGAAGCTTCGTCGAGCTAGACTAGACTTGAGTTTGACCTCTAGAGGATGAAGGTGAAACAAAAATCGAATGGATTTTTCTCACCTTCCTTCATGTCATAGCCTGACGTTGTCAATGCAAGTTAAATATATAAACAACCTTCCTAGAAGCCACCCCAATGTTCGATGGGGTGATCGGGCAGCTAAGATCTCGATTGAGAAAGAAATGGCATGAAAATGGACTTCTCCCAGGCTATGAATATGATTGTGGCTTGTGGACCCATCTTGCAAAAAGTTGTTAGGCCCCTGAAAAATATTCTGGGTCAGCAACCTGATATTCGACAAAGCAAAAGCACTTTTAAACTCAAAAATGCATGTTTCTCCTCAGAGTTTGACACAGTAATTTAGCCATAAAAAAACTTTATTATATGACCCCATCGTCTCCACCCTATAGGAATTACGAGATCACCTAAGGACGCCTTTAGTATCCAAAGGATATAGACCGACCATAGAACCCTGTTCAATAAATGAAACGCATTAGTTGTTTGAAATTATTGAAATACTATGAAAGAGTCTCGTTAGCGATTTGAGGGAAGCCAAAAACATAGAAAAAATTTATTATACGTCTGTAATGTTTCTAAAAAGAATAATGAGCGTATATATACACTTTTTTGAGCTATTGAAAGTGAGGGATTGGAAAAGCACATACTCACTCATTGTAAAGTGCCTCCACGAACCTATGATGAGAGGGAGAAAGCAAAATGTTGAGCCAATCTACACGACATTGCTAAGAAAAAGCAAGGACGTTGGCAGTTTCAAAAGATATACCGTTTTAAAACGCGTCTACTTGGGAGAAATTTTCCACACTTTATAAGGAATGTTTTGTTCCCCTCCTCAACCGACGTGGGATCTCACAATCCACCCCCTTTGGGGGCCAGCGTCGATGTCTAGCTCTAATACCATTTATAACCGTCTAAACCATTCCTAGCAAATAGTGTCCGTTTTGGACCATTACGTATCATTGTCAGCCTCATAGTTTTAAAACACGTCTACTGAGGAGAGGTTTTCCACACCCTTATAAAGAATGTTTCGCTCACCTCTCCAACTGATATGAGATCTCACACGAGTTGTATTTGCAACCTAAGTTTAAGGACATCTGCATCAAGTGGACAAAAATTAAGATCACTAGTCGTTGGCTATAGGATCAACTTTTTCACTTTCTCTGTTCTGGAAAATTAAGAATCGTTCATATTGTTTCTACATATTCAGACTTACGAAAGGTTTACATCAGCAACTACCAAAAAACGACCAATTCGTTTTAATTCAGGAATTCCCTTATTCATTCCTTCCTGTTCTCCATTCATCATACATAGATTGATGGTAGCATGTACTAAACATTACGACATCAATTCAAACTATAAAGCAGTAACACCACGAGATAATGCAAACGAAATGCCACAAATCAAGAAATGATTACTGTGAATATGACAGTTACCGAAAAGAAAAAGAAGTTCATTATAAAGTCCCACAGACCATCGCATTCACCATGAGCGTAACTCTAAGGAATAAAGCGGTAGCATCACATTCAATTCGGGGTCCACCAAAACCTAGCAACTTGCAAGAATGACACACATTTAATAAGAACCGAAAATTTAGAAGGAAAAGAGAGAGAGAGAACCTAAAGGATAAGAAACGGCGGTGGCGACCGCAGCGGAGAGGCCACTGGTTCAAAAATTACGCATCTCAATGCGCACCAAAAATCCTGAACACAATTCGAGAAACAAAAATCATTTCAAAATATATCGGAATTCAACCAAACAGAAGCTGAGCTGAAAAACATAAGCAGAATTTTACGGGTCGAAGTGTTCCATTGCTTGTTTCCTCAAGCAACCAGAAGAAAGATTCAATTAGAACAGTAATAATAAAAGATGAAGAAAGCGAGAGAACCTGCAATGGACGATATTCTTAGGAAGAAGATCGTTAACCATTTCCTTTTTTCGTTTCACCAGTTACAGAACTGGAAAGCTGCCCCCACGCTTCATTTATATAGGGATCGGGTGCTTCTAAATTGACTCGGAATCTGGTGTATATGAGAACCGAACCGAACCGAACCGAACCGGCGTACGGTTTGATTAAAATCGGAATCCAAAATAACCTAGTTTTTCCTCCTCAAAAAAACCCCTTAATTCTAAAAAAACTTCCAATAATACCAAAAAAACTTAAAATAAAAATTTTACAATAAATGTTAAAAAAATATATAAAATATATCATTAAAAATTTTAAAATTTTTATTGATACTCTAAATTTTTACATATTTATAGTTTATAGAATACCCCTCTCTTTCTTTCTTCTCATATATTTTTTAATTAAAAAAAAAAAAAAAAAACAGGTATCAAGTATCTTTTTAAATAAAATATTAATGATGTTCGTAAAAGTATTTTTTTTTTAATTTTTTTAAGTTTAAAAATATTATTGACTAATTTTTTTTAAAGTTTATGGTATCTTTCACAGTCAATTTTATTAACTTAGCCAAACTGAAACACTAGAAGCTTTTCTCTCTCCCTCGTTCTGGCGGAGTCGCTGATAGGGTTTTTGGAGGGTCTGCCATTGTTGCTTCTTCTTCGAGCTATACAGCGTTATGCCTCGGTGCGTTCTTCCATATCCGTCTTCTTCTAAGAGCCTCATTATTTTATGATTCAATCAATTTCACACCTCTCTCTCTCTCGTTTTCTCTGTATAGTCAGTGAAGTGATCTTGTTCTATGGCTGCAGGTATTATTGTGACTATTGCGATACATATCTGACACATGATTCTGTAAGTCCTCTTCTTACATTCACATTACAATGCCATTTTTGGGGCTTTCTTCATTGAAGCTGCAGTTCCTTCTCTTTTTTATGGGTAATGTTTTGCGGTTTATGATGTTTAATTTTTAAGCTCGAAGGAATTTGGAGGACTGTTTTGAATTGGTATGATTGTGGTTGGTGTTCGGACATCGACTGTTTGTAGATTGGTTTGTGTAAGCTTAGTGTAACGGCTCAGATCCACCGCTAGCATATATTGTCTTATTTGGGCTTCCCTTTTCGAGCTTCTCCTCGAGGCTTTAAAACGCGTTGGCTGAGAGAAGGATTCCATACCCTTATAAATGGTGTTTGTGTTCTTCTCCCCAACCAATGTAGGACATCACAATCCACCCACCTTCGAGGCCTAGCGTCCTCGCTGGCACTCTTTCCTTTCTCCAATCGACATGGGACCCCCGCCAAATCCACTCCCTTTGGGGCCGGCGTCCTTATTGGCGACACTCTTTCCTTTCTCCAATCGATGTGGGACCTCCGCCAAATCCATCCCCTTTGAGGCCAGCGTCCTTACTGGCACACCGTCTCGTGTCTACCCCCTTTGGGGAACAGTCTCCTCGCTGGCACATAGTTTGGTGTCTAACTCTGATATAATTTGTAACGGCCCAAACCCACCGCTAGTAGATACTATCCTCTTTGAGATTTCCCTTTCGGGCTTTCCCTCAAAGCTTTAAAATGCGTATGCTAGGGATATTTTCCGCTTTAGCTCGTTACGTATCGCAGTCAACCTCACGGTTTTAAAATGTGTCTATTAGGGGAAGGTTTCCATACCCTTATAAAGGGTGTTTTTGTTCTACTTCCCAACCAATGTGGGACATCACACTTAGCATAGAACGTTTGTTTGTAATTGGAAACTTACAATCAACACAAAGCTGAAACTAAAAATTATATGTAATGTGAACAAATGATAAGAAGGCTTCCCAACAAGACTTAAATCTAAAGAACCACCCCAAGGCTTAGGTTCTCACGCTCTATTTTTAAGCGTTTGGCGTATTTTAGACTGAATAACCTCAACTATGGAACCACCATGAATTGGCCTATTGAATTGAGGTTGAGGTCAAGGAAGAAAGTGGGGTTTTAGAGGCTTTTAAGTTCGTACTATCGTGGCTACCTACTTAAGATTTAAAAACGTCTCGAGTTTCCTTAGCAACCTAATGTCGCCGGGTGAGGTGGTTGTGCTTTGATGTTTGGTAAGGTGTGCAAAAGCAAACTCTTAACACTCATAGTTATAAAAAAGAAAAGAAGAGAGAAATGAAAAGTAAAGAAACCATGATCCATGGCTTTGTCTAAGTCAATGTGAGATCCCATATCGGTCGGGGAAGAGAGCGGAGCATTCTTTATAAGAGTGTGGAAACTTCCCCCTAGTAGACGCAGAAATTCCAAAGAAAACAATATCTATAGCAGTGGACTTGGGCTGTTATAGTTAAACTCTTACTTTCAAACGAAACGTGCCGAACCTCTGTTTCCTTTGAAACTAAGTTTAGTTTGTACAATCTTTCAAGGATTTTCAAGTATAACAATATTTAGGCCCGAGTTTGGTGGCTGGCTTCAAGATTTTGGACCTGTTTGTCATTTATATTGAGTTAGTGAATGTTCAATGCTGCCCATATTTAGTTTTTTTTTTTTGTGGGTGTTTCAGCCATCTGTGAGGAAGCAGCATAATGCAGGCTACAAACATAAGGTATGTTAATCTTGTCCACATCTCAATTTAGTAGAGTAGTTTTGTTCCAAGGTTGATGAGAGATCTTAGATCGGTTGGAGAGGAGAACGAAACATTTCTTATAAGGGTGTGGAAACTTCTTCCTAACAGACATGTTTTAAAACCTTGAGGGGAAGCTCATAAGGTAAAGTCCAAAGAGGACAATGTCTGTTAGCGGTGGACTTAAGTTGTTACATTTGAGCTCTACCGGCTATAGTTAGAACTGAATTTAATGGTATTTTTACTTATTTAAGAACAAACCACTCTCAGTCTAAAATGAACTTGGTTGGTTTTTTGGTTTTAGTTTTAGAAACACCTAAAAAAAGTGGAAAAGTTAACTGCTAGAGGTAAGTTTTTATTGTTCTTTTAGAGGTTGCCTTCTGTTTACTGAAATATGATAAGTATATGATAAGTATCTTTTAAGTGTATTGTTATTGTAACTTGGTATATTTGAATAAAAAGGCAAAATTTAAATAACTGTAGAAATATTATTTCCATTCATTCATCCAATAAGAACTTCAAAAAAAAAAAAAAAAAAAAAAAAAAAAAAAAAAAAAAAAAAAAAAAAAAAAAAAAAAAAAAAAAAAAAAAAAAAAGAAAAGAACAAGAGATACATAGTACCTTATTTATGGATGCACTCTAGGCAAACGTGCGATCATACTATCAGCAATTTGAGGAGCAACAAACCCAAAGTTTAATTGACCAGAGGATCAAAGAACATCTTGGTCAAGCCGCAGCATTCCATCAGGTTGGTGCTGCCTATAATCAGCATTTACTTGGCCAACGACCTCGTCTTCCTGTATTACCTACACCTGTAATGCCGGGAGCTGCCCCGGGGTTATTGCCTGGAATTAGGCCTCCAGTTTTGCCAAGACCAACTCCTGGTGCTCCCGGTAATATTCACAGATTTGATACATTGAAATCTTGTTGGGAAGCCTTGGGGTGTTCTCGTCGGTTTTTATTGATTTCGGTTTGTGCTCCTTTGTCATTGTAGGATATCTACCTGCTCCTACAATGCCACCTATGATGGCTCCGCCCGGTGCTCCTATGCCTGGCCAAGTGAATATGCTTGCCAGGCTGCCGCCTCCTCCAGCACCAATTCCAGGGAGCACACCTCAACCTTCTTCAGCCAATGGCGCACCTTCAGCTGCTGCACCATTGATGTATCAAGCAAATCCAGCAGCACCAGGAAGTGGTGGTTATGATAGCTTCAACACCGCCGCTCAACCTTCTGAGTCTAACCATTAGAGCTTCTAATATCTGTGCTATATGTGTATGATATCCAAATCTCTTCTAGTGCAAATTTAGACTCAACAATTCTTAACATATCTGAAGAAGTGTGATTCTGTTTTTTGTGCTTTTTCATATCTGATTTTCTTTGACAAATTTTCAAATCCAAAATAGTATTCACTTCCATCCAAAAAAATGTTTGAAAATAAAAGAAAAAAATATTGCCATGCTGTTGTAAACAAAAATAGAACAGAAAAACAGTGCCCACAAAATTCTTGATGGATATTCATTATAGAAACAAAAATATTTACAAAGTTTCCTGTCTTCCAAAATGACTTGAAGATATAAAGGACTATTATCTCTTAAGTGGAAATACGTACCCATCAGCCATTTTTACCAGCATTTCCATGGAGGTAGAGAGGGAAGAGGACAGAGTATTTCGACTGCTCTACTGGTCTTGGCTGTCATCAAAACCTTTCGTGCAATATGTGAAGAGCTCATGCCTGTTAATGGCAAGTGTAAATCAAAGAACAAAGTTCAGCAGCTGATGAACTCTCATTGAGAAAAGGAGTAAAAAGGTCAATGATATACTCATATAACTTTAGTCAACTATACTAGGTTTGAGGTCACTTCTTTTGAAAACACTTCTAAATGCCACATTTTACAACACTTATTTCAAAATTCACACTTAATGATCTAACTCCATGATGTTTGAGATCACTTTTGAAGTAGTGTTTACAGCTAACTAAGCATTATAGAAAACTTAAAAGCGTTCTCATTGAACTAAAAGTACTTATCAAAGTGTTTTTAAGTTCATAGAAAGTCATTTCAAACAAATACAATACTAATTGGAAAATTGTACCTATGATTCAATTTCTAAAACTCAAATGAAAACTGAATCACTTTAGTACTGAAGTGTTACTACCTTTTGCTTGTGTTATGATCGAGTGAAATTACCGACTTATGAACTTTTGCTCTAAATTCAAATTTGTCTCTAGCTCATGAAAATTTTCTATATATTTTAAACTCAAAATATGTAGGACCATAATTTTTTTTTTTGAAAAGTAAAATTTATGAGTTTAACTCTTGAAAATTTTGTTTTCTCACTTCAACATTTTTTTTGTGGGTTTGAATCACGGTCAAAGCAATCAATCTATCATCATAATCTTGTTTCTAGCTCTCAATTCTAGCTCTAGTATCTAGCCATTATGTTTACTTTGTAAATGTCTTAACCATCCCTTTTTACATGCAGATCAGACCACAAAACAAGCAACATTAATCCCTAAACCTAAAAAAAGTACGAAAACAAAAAACGAAAACAAAATAGGAAACGGAGATAAGAGTGAAAGAGAGGAGAGAAATTTTATATGCAGACCCGAAAGAGAGAAAAGCTATGGATGGGTTGATTTGGAATCATGTGGAGAGGGAGAGACAAAAGAGAGAATTTAGTTAGAGGGCAAAGCGGTAACTTTTTGTGATGATTACATCACCAAAAGGTTAAAAAACTTGATTTGGAAAGGGTGGGTCATATCACATTTAGCTCCCAAAATCTAGATTATTCAGTCAAATTTCTCTATTCTAGTTTAGCTTCACCCCTGCCCCATTCTCATTGACAGAATTCTCAATGCCCAACTTATTTACTCCAATCTAACTTTGCTGATGCATCACTGTGATTAAGAGTGAGGTAGCATCAACCATTATTATTCAGTAAAGAGCCAGTGGGACTGTCAAATAGTTTAATATTATACTCATTATAAAACCAGCTCGAGAACTGGGTTGCAACTCCTGAATCATTATGCTAATTAGTAAGCCTGAATATTGCTAGAGTCTATGTTCTAAAATTTATAATAACTTGCACCTCCTCCAGGACGTATGGTTTGCGTAGAAAATACTAACCGTTTGTTTTCAAGTTTCTGGATAACTATCCCATTCAATAGAAGCTCGGAACTGTAAATGGTTGCTCCTGCAAAAAGGAGCTCTAGCATTATTCTTGAGCTACTCTTTAAGAAACCAGGTGTTTTATTTATAAAAAAAGGGGATAAATCCATACCTTTTCTAAGGAAAGGAACACAATTCGCATAATCTTCTTCGCATGAAAGAATAAGTAGATCGTCGGGGAACTTATCAGCCTTCCCAGTGAAAATCTGACTCCTCTCAATAGGCTGCAAGGCGTTTAAATTTATGACCAATTTTGTAATACCAAAAGGGATAAGAATACATAGAGGTAGAAATTTACAGCTGCAAACAGTACTGTAATTTGAGAACAATCACAACTATGCACAAGCATGTATAGTCAGTACCTCACCCTGAGACATCTTTACCAAACTAGTAATGATTTCTTTACTAGGTTTTATGTTTGGGGTGACGAAGACTCTGAGACCCTGCTAAGTAGGATCAAAGAGGAAAAAGTAAAATATCTACAGCATTAATGAAAAATCAACTTGGAGAGAAACCTTAGCCTATATGAAACCAAACAACAACATTTCACCTGTAGAAGTGGACATTGGGTAGCACGAGATATGGAAACAGGCAAGTTAAAACCAATTTCCTTCTCCTTCTTAGTATCTCTTAGAATATAATTCTTTTCATCAATAAAACAGCTTGCTTGTCCACAACTTTCAAGCCATGAGTGTGTAACCACTGGTTTACCGAGAGCAATAGCCTCCAACATGTTTCTTGTACGAACGAACTTATCTGCTACAAAATGTGTGGCATCTGCAGAACTCGATGCAATTGATATACCCAGTTGTAAGACTACCTATTAAAGAAGAAACCAGATGGTAAGTACACATTTTGAAAGAACTTGATTGTCATAAAAAAGATAAGCACAGATTTACCTTTTTTTGTTGCTTGAGGGTAACTTCATCCAAATGCTGGCTAAAACATACTCTTACCAAAGCCATTGTTCTTCTTCTCCTCAAATCTTTCCATCTGAGATCAGGCATCGACTCTGAGACACCTAATCGTGCAAGCTCTTTCGAAGATGACTGTGGTAGCATTATGGGTGTTGTTTTGTGATAAATATCAAATTTGCAGCTGGACCTTGATGTATTTTTCCCTGCAGTAAAACATAGCATGTATTTTTCCCTGGACTGCATTTTCATAGTATAAACAGAAATTTCTCAAACTGTGATCACAGTTTATGGTCTCACGCAATACATTTTGAAAACATTTTTGCACTACAGACCATTAATGAAGAACATGTTGCACATTGCTTATTTAACTTGCATGAATCCCTAGGCAAACACGCAGGACATTCGGATTGATACTCCTAATTAAGGCAGTTGACTTACTGTTAGAATTTCTGCCTAATGTCCCAGTTTTCATTAAGATGGAATTCTCGCAACTTCCCTCAACTGCTAAAAAAGTGTTGTTCTGATTGTTTGATTTATTTGGATGACTTTGGAAGTTGCGTGGTGTTCTTCTCCTCCTGGGGTGGCTCCATAAACCGACCATCAAACTGGTGATGGTAACTTGATCTCCCTTAGTGAGACCTCGCTGAATCAGTTGGCAACTACCTATATCGCTGAGTAGATTGGAAGATGTGGCTGAATAATTGCTCCCATCAGGAGACTTTCTATAATTCAACCGTCCCTTCACCGCCAATCTACTTCTTTTTGCTTGTCTCTTAGTTGTCAAATCGGATTCTAACTCCTGACGGTCATATTGTGCTTGAGATCTAGTCAAACACTTTGCATTAAGCTTCTTCTTAGAATGCAGTGCTCGCTTTGACTTTCTAACTGCGCCTCTCATAATTTGAGGATAGGAATTATTCAAATGAGGTTTATGTTCAATTATAGAGCACGAAATGTTATCAAAGGCGTTCTCTGGACTGCAGGCATTGGCAAGTTTGTTACTATCTGGGATATAAGACAATGCTTCCATTGCTTCAACAGCTATTTGGGTACTAAAACCAATATCTAATTCTTCGAGTTCATCTCCCTCATCATCCATAGAGCCAAACTGTTCCTCTGCTATTTTTGCATTTGGTTCCTTGTTGAACGTATTCTCTATTTCAATGTTGTTCATCCCATCTATCTCTGATGAAGAGATATCCAATCTTGGATGTGGCAAGGTTGAAGCAGTTGGATCAATCTGGAACTGAATGCCTGCACTTGCTTCCTCACCTTCATACTTTTTGAGCAAACAATCGCCTTCTTTATTGCTCAGTTTTGCGATATTCTGAGGCTTGGTTGCACATGACTGCCCTCTGCAGTTAACAAAATCAGAAGTTGCCTTTTTGCACTTGGCAAATAAGTTGCATTCTGCTTCTTGATTGTAAATGTCAACCCACTCAAAGTTCCTTGTTTCTTCAATCGACTTCCTACCTATTCTCTTTGCCAAACTTTGAGGTCCCTTAATTCTTGAAAGAAGAGGAGATTGCACTCTAGCAGCCTCTCTTCCTTGAGAAAGATTTACATTTGTAGTACTTAGAGTTACAAACTGATCCACAAAGCCAAGAGCATTGACTTGGGTTGAATCTCCTGGTTCTTGAGAACTGCAATAGCTTAACCTTGGCGAAAGTTGATATGAATCCTTCCCCATGTCAACCCCATTCAAACAATTAGAAGAAACTTGCTCCCCTTCATACAAATTTATAGACAAGTCAACCAAAGTTATGCTAAAAAAAATGAACAGAACAGGAAAAGGGTTAAGTCAAAGGTTTACTTTTAGCATTTTGTCCATTTTGATTTGCAGTGGTCCATGTACTCTTAGAACTCCGTTTTTTTAAAACTACTAGATAAAAATCAACCTTTTGAAAGTACATTGACAAAAAAAAGTAGTGTTTCAGAAGTATATGGACTAGAATGGATGTCTTAGGAGTAGAAAAGACACTGAAATGGCCCAAGCTGAAATTACATACTAAAATATTACTTAACCCTATATTTAAAAATGGCTAATAATATCGAGTTTCAAATTGAAGCAGGGAGTATGAACCTGTATCGCATGGCTTCTGATCAGAAGAGTTGAAATCCAATGTCATATTCTCATCTTGTGAATCACTTTTAACTTCCCAGCCCGCTTCATTTCTTGACAGGTTGCTGGAAACTCTAATCACTCGACATCCATTAATTCCTTCGTCCTCGCTATCAAGCACGACATCATCCTCATACTCGAAAGTAGGAATGTATAAGTCCTTCGAACAATCAAGCGCATCCACCATCTCCGTATCAGTGAGAGGGCTCTTCAAACGAACAACGTGGTTGTCAAATCCAACACTGTCTTCAAAAGCCAATGTATTCTGTAGTAGTTCGCAATCATCACAACTCGAACCAAAATCGTCATTTTCTGATTCTAAGACCATAAAGAAAACAATAGACTACTAAGCCAACGGCATAACGTGAAAAATGAAAGACAACGTGCAAACATCGATGAAACACACAAACATTCACTGTTCAAATTATAGCGATGGTCAATCAATAACGCAATTAACAAATGGCTCGGTTCAGTCACTCTCTAAGTCGTTTGATGATCGAGCGCGCTTTAAAAGTTAAGCATGTTGAAAATAACTGATGATTACCAGAAACCGACGATGAAGATGGAGTATGAAGATCAACGATCCGAGCCTGAATATCGGCGACGGCTGCCATTGGCATTGTTGCTAATGATTCCTTAATCACGAACTTGCACCGAAATCACATCCCCTTGCAGAGGCAATCGCGGAGAGAAATACAGAAGACCTTTTGATTCGCTTTGGTAAGAGCATGAAGTTCCAAGAAGTGAAATGGAGGGAAATTTTTGGAACAGTTTTATTTATTTTTTTAATGGAGGGAAACACTTGGGTTTCTCTAATAAATTCTAAATTTATCTAAATTAAAAAAATACTTGCACTTCATCTTTTGTCATTGGAATAACCGTTTCTTTAAAATTAAATTTTAAAAATATATTTATATTTATAATATGATTTTTTTTTTTTTTTTTTTGTTAATAATTCAAATGTTTATGTAGATAGAAAAACTATAAAATAATAAATAAATAAAAATTAATAAGAAAGTTCACTAAATAAAGAATGAGATAAGAGGCCGAGACAACACCAATAAACACTCTGTTTTTATTCTCGGTGGACATTTATGGTTTCATGTCTTTTTTATTTGTCCCCTTTTATCGTACAAAATACGTATACTAGCATTTCCTCACAGATGATGTACCCGTTTATTGTTTATACACACAAGAGGTTGGTAACCCTGCATAGTTTATTGATTTTTTTAATTATTTAAAAAATGGATAGAAATTTTGTAAGCAATAAAAACAAGTTTATTTATTTATTTATGGTTCCATATTTTTCCAAAAGATATTAAAAGTAGTATTGGATCGTTTTTGTAATAAAATACATAAAAAATTAATATTTAATTTTAAAACTTGTTTTAATGCAATTTATTTTTTTACAAATTTTTTATTTCGTGTTGGAGAATAAGACCGGCCCAATTAAAATGGGCCGAAGTTTTAGTCCCAACAAGCCCATTTGTTGAGGCCCAACTTCTAAATGGAGGCGCCAAATTCCTTCGGGCTTTATCTAATTCTATATTTTCGTTTTAAGGATAAGGAAACGGACCCGCCGTTCCCGACGGCATTTGTATGTAAAAAAATTCACATATCTCGCTCTCCAGGTCCTCATTTCTCAAAGCTCCGAACAGTGGCTGCAGCAATGGCTAACAGCTGCTTCTTCGTCTTCGACTCCATCGTCTAATTCCGCTCCTCATTTCCCTCCCGGAGTCGCCCGCCCACGCTGCAGCGATCAACTGTTTCGCTCATTCACATGGCCATCGCTGACCGGAGGAATACTTCCGGCTCCAAACGACGCTCATCTTCGACCTTTCCTTCTTCTTCTTCTGGTAACTTCGACGTCGAGGTATTTTCTAGGCCTAATGCTTCTCGCTGTATCCACTTCATTGTCGTCTTTGTTCCGAGTCTTACTTTCTATTTTTTTCACACGTTTTCGGTATTATAGCTGAGAGGTGTGAGTTAATGTGGTGTAAATTGTCATAAGTTTTGATTTGATTTGGTTATTTCGATTAGATTTGGTTTGATTATTTGAATTAGATTGAGTGAGATTTGATTCTATATAATGTGAAATTTCTCCCTCTGATCATCCTTTCCTAACCAGTGGTATTGGGATTTGGGAGAGCTTTGGCTCCATTCTGATCATCCATTCCTAACAAATGGTATTGGGATTTGGGATAGCTTTGGCTCCATTCTCATCATCCATTCCAAGTGGTATTGGGATTTGGGAGAGCTTGGGCTCCATTCTGATCCTCCATTCCTAACAAGTGGTATTAGAATTTGGGAGAGTTTTGGAAGTCACATTTGTATTTGTTGAATTTGTTGAGTTACATTTAGTGAGAGTCTTTTGTAGTGTGACCGTGAGGTATTCACTTGGTTTATTAGTGATTGGTTGCTACCCGTGGATGTAGGGGAACTTCTTCTCTCTGAACCACGTAAATATCTTGGTGTCTATTTGTGTAATTTCGTTCATTGGTGTTGTGAGTACATTTGTTCTACTTTCGGCGCGTAACACAATGTACTGAAATTAGGTATTCTGTGTTAAGAGACTCCAGACTTGGTTGAACTTGTGGAGTTATATGTGTTCACTGTGTGGATCTCGTTCCATTTTGCTGCAAGAACATGTCATTTAGTCTGAGCTTTCCATTATACGTTGAGCTATTGTAGGCCATATGCTTCTTGTTTAGAATTGCGATTTCATTGGACCGGAAACTAATCATCGTGCGTCGAGACTGAAATATTTGTTGAGCTTTTGGAGTGACATGTTTTTGCAGCGCGTTTTCTCATTTTCGAGTCTTCAAAAATAATCGTATCACAGAGGCTAGAGGATTACTTACAAAAGAACTTACTAGTCACAATAAGGAAACGAATCAATATTATATCCCAAAATTAAACCTCCTATGATAATGTGAGCTTGAGGAAATATTTGGGGGAGGGAATGTTATGCATTATTGATTAAATTGTTTTCAATTTTGAGCCGAAAGAGGTGATCAGATTCTTTTATTTAATTCATGTAGTATGAAGACTCATGCTGCGAATTCAAAATGAAAGCAATGCTCAAAGAAATCTCGGCGGAATGCAGACAACAGCTTATAAATCATTTGGCAGTGCTTTATATTCTTCTGTAAATGTTAAGAACCAACTATTACGCTGTGCAGTGCTTTTATGATTGGCGATGGTAAACTCTTGACAAATGCACATTGTGTAGAACATGATACACAGGTAATGTACTGAGGATTTGAGCCTTAGTTTACGTGATAATATCTATTTCCTATATGTGCTGTTGATTCCATGTTTCTTTTCCCTCATTTAAGCTTTAAATTTATTTTATTTTTACTTGAGAGGATACATGTTATCTTCCTTTTATTGTTAATATACTTTCCTTCCCATTAAAAACAACATGTGGAGCATATGCTCCGTCGTCTCATCTTAGTCTCTGTAATTTTAAATGTCTAAATTTAGTCTATGAAGTTGTGAAGTTATGATTTTGCAAGATCTTTGGGCTCATCATCTTCTCAGTGATATTACACAGGTCTTAGCCAGAGGAGTTGATTCTGATATAGCTTTACTTTCAGTTGAAAATGAGGAGTTTTGGAAAGGAGCTGAACCACTAGAGTTTGGTAATTTGCCTTGCCTTCAGGTTTGCACTTGGCTCTTTGATTGAGTGATTGGTTCCAGTTTATGACATCTTTGACATCATTGATCCTACTGCTTCTGGCCAGCCTTGACCTCCTAAGTTATACATTTTCTTCCTCTTTCAAATGCTTTGTTATGATAACTATACCTCTCTCCAATTCAAATATGAAAATTGTTCAGTTAGAAGTCATCTACATTATTTTGTTTTATGTACAAATTACTGTAGGCTTTATATTTTGCACTCAATTCATGCTCTATCTCTGGGCAGGATGCTGTGACTGTTGTGGGATATTTGTTGGAGGAGACACTATATTTGTGAGATCCCACATCGATCGGAGAGGAGAACGAATTATTCCTTATAAGAGTGTAGAGACCTCTCTCTAGTAGACGCATTTTAAAATCTTGAGAGAAAAGCTCAAAAGGAAAAGTCCAAAAAGAACAATATTTGCTGGCGGTTACAAATGGTATTAGAGCTACACACCAGGTGGTGTGCCAGCGAGGACGTTAAGTCCCTAAGGGGGGTGGATTGTGAGATCCCGCATTGATTGGAGAAAAGAACGATCTCTCCCTAGTAAACGTATTTTAAAATCTTGAGAGAAAGCTCAAAAGGGAAAACCCAAAGAGAACAATATCTGCTAGCGGTTACAAATGGTATCAGAGTCCGACACCAGGTAGCAAGGACGCTGAGCCCCTAAGGGGGTGGATTGTGAGATCCCACATCGATTAGAGAGGAGAACGAATCATTCCTTATAAGAGTGTAAGAGTGTAGAGATCTCTCCCTAGACGTGTTTTAAAATCATGAAGCTGACAACGATATGTAATGAGTTAAAACGGATAATATTTGCTAGCGATTGACTTACCATACTAGTGAATAGGGGTGTTGTGTCTGCCCCTTATCTTAGATGTTGCAGGCCACTGGAGTCTGCTCGACCGTGGTCTTCGGGTTCTATACAGCAGTAGGGTGTATATTCAACTCGACAATTCCGACCAACCCAACCCGAACTATAAAGGGTTTGGTTGGGTAAGCATTTTGTAGGATTGGGTTAGGTTAGATTGGATAAACATTTCGGGTAGGGTTGAGTTCATTTTTTCTGAACTCGAACTGAATTGGTTCAATTTCAAGATCGTGAGCAAAACTTTAGGGTTGATCTTGCCCAAATAAAAATATAAAATATATTAAAAATCATTCACCCCTGAGTTCAACGACGGTTAGGCAAATACATGTTTCTTTTAATTATTTTATTATTTGTTTCTTTCTAATTTCTTTTATATTATTTTGTTATTTTATTATTTTTAATTTTAATATATATACCTGTTTCTTTTTAAATTTTTTTTTATATTATTGTGTTATTTTATTATTTTTAAGTTTAATATATATACCTGTTTCTTTTTAATTTTTTTATATTATTGTGTTATTTTATTATTTTTAATTTTAATATATATACCTGTTTCTTTTTAATTTTTTTTTTATATTATTGTGTTATTTTATTATTTTTAATTTTAATATATATACCTGTTTCTTTTTAATTTTTTTTTT